CACAGTACAATTGCTCACCACCCGCTGATAAAAGGAACCCCAAAATCGAAATCGCAATCCTGGAATAGTGAGCCCAAGCGATTCCCCAGAGAATCCCCCCCTTTCCAGTCAATTCTGGAATTTCATGATGTAATATGATATGGAATATCTTATTGGCATATCCAACTGTGAATTCTGGGTTTTACTGACTGCCACCAGTAATAAGTAAAACTATTCTCTACCCTGCCGCCCCCCACCCAGCCCTTGCAGTTGTCTGTTCTTGGAAATTGCCCAAGCAGGGTGTCCTTGTAGTTATCAACGTTGTTCTCATAACAATCCTTACTGAAACCAAAACACAGTGCTTTCTAGCTACTAAGAAGAAAATTAACCTTATACTAGCAAAAACCGGGACATACCCACAGACCCAGGAGGCACAGGTTACGATGGAGAGTGATACCCAACAGTTGTCTTCTCTCCTCTGCAGAAATAGTCAACTGATTTTTGAAGGAGAGGGAGTAACGGGTGCACTGCTTGGTGTGTTTCAGGCTCCTGCTGCCAGAAGCACCTCCAAAGAAGTTCCTGACGCTGGGCTCCAAGTTCCGCTACAGTGGTCGGACACAGGCCCAGACGAGACGAGCCAGTGCCCTCATTGACCGTCCTGCACCTTACTTTGAGCGCTCTTCTAGTAAACGTTACACTATGTCTCGCAGCTTAGATGGGGGTAAGGTCCTCTTCAATTAACTTTGTCAAAAGTTGCCATCACCGTGGTCACTGTTTTAGATTAGGTAATAAACCTTTTGTCATCTCATCTCCTTGAGCTTCAGCTGAGTGGAGGCTGTGAGTACCTGCACATTCACTGCAGGGGTAGGGGAGGATGCAGAGAAATACTATGTTAAATGTCCTGCTGCAGTCCTTACAAAGCATTTGCCTGGAGGAGGTCCTTGGGAACCCACTCTTCGTGGATATTCTCTCCTTGGCCTCAGACCTGCAAAGTGCTCCTCTGCTTTGGGGAAGGATGGGGCGCCTGGACCTCCCAGCCTGGACCTGCCTGCCTGAGCAAGTCAGGCTTCAACACTTTTTCAGGGTTTGCATGAGTAACTATTTGGGTTTTGGTTTAATTTGGCTTTTTTTCCTGTGTAGGTTTTTCATTTAAGTATATGTTACAATTCATAAATGAATCATTTCCCTTGATTAAGTGATAACACTTGTTTCTGATTACCTCGTGTCCTAGTCAGATGAGCTCTAACAGGCTTTTTCCATACATGACTTTTGAAGAAGTGAGATGGAGAGTAATACACACAGGTTAATAGTATGTCTGTCCTTCTGCTCTCTTTCTCCGTGGTTCATGGAGGTCATGGTTCTGCTGCTCCCTTACGTTACACCAGCATGTGATTCAGAGTCTCAGCTACTTCATCAGCTGTTACTATTGAGCTATTGAGTAAAAAGAGGTTGTACTTTTTATTTTATTTTATTTTATTTTTTTTAGAAAAATAGCGAGACTAAATTTAGAATTGCTACGGTATTTTTTTAAAAAAGGTGAATTCTCCTGCAGAATATCACAAACAAATTGCAATGAATATAGGTGATGGTGGGGAGCGGGAGAAGCTTTGATTTAAAAGTACTAGTGACAAGCCTTCTTTTCTCCCCCTAAAGGTGCTGCTTGTCATTAATTATTTTGGAATCTTCTAATTCTGATGTGCTTCTTGCTCGTTACCAAGCAACTGGTGACCTGATTGCTGTGCATGTGTTTGAAAGCAGAAATTATCCTTCTGCGTTGTTTTGTTTGTAACATCTAAACAAGATGTCTCCCTCTACTCCCTTTGCTTTTGCCCGCCTCCTAAGCTCATTCCCAAGAGACGAGATATCTGAAACGCTTTTCCCCAGCATTTGTTAGACTCTGCAAGGTTTTTATGATGTTAATTTGCGTAAGTGCAAATGGGGAAAAGAGGTTTTTTAATCAATGCTTATGATTTCTGCACTAATGTTGTTACTATAATGCAAATATGACTGTAACATTCTGCATTGTGATTACACTGTGATCCCAGCCCTGTCATTTTTTACAGATAAATGTAACTTTATAAATTTGAATAGTCCTATTGACTTAGAAATTACTTACACAAAAGTCAAGAGCAGCGTCTGGGTATATTATTAATATTTTGATAACACTCTGTCTGTAAATTTACTGTTTCTTTCAAAATCATTTATATATATTTAAGTTTGCTGAATTATCAAACGTTTACATCCTAAAATATTCTGATTTGATCCACTTAATTGATTGCCATCACTTCCCAGAATTTTTTAGGATAATGAGCTCACTTAACTGACAGACTTTAATACTTGATAATACAAAGATTCCCTTTCTTGATTCTCAGATGTTATGCCTGTGTTACATCAACATTGTCATTTTCTGTGATGCAGCACGTTACTTGCCATGCATTTGAGCTGCATTTTTATATTCTGACAAATTTCCTAAAAAACCTCTTCCACCCCCACGGCTGATGTCATAGCTGGTTCTCCTTATGTTTCTTGCCTGATAAGTGGCAACGCACTGGTTTTTTTCTGATGTTTTACTACAGTAGCACTTTTAATGGCTTGCTAACATTTAACAACGGTGTAATGCACACATTAGCTACAGTAATGTGTGTATACACATCCATAATATATGTATATGCATATAAGAGCTACAAGCTTTATTTCAAGTAAACAGTTTATTTAAATGTATGCACATGCTTTTGGTTTCCTGAAACATGACATAGTTGTGTTTTCAGCAATATCTCAAATGTTTTACTAACCCAGCTTTTTAATTTTGTGCAGCTTCTCAGCAAAAGCTATTTCAGATTTTCCCTCTTTAAATATTTGCTTTTAGCATCAGTGAATGAAAACCATGAAATGTACATGAAGGATTCTGTGTCTGCTGCAGAGGTTGGTACTGGCCAGTACGCCACAACAAAGGGCATCTCTCAGACCAACTTGATAACCACTGTGACTCCAGAGAAAAAGGCAGAAGAAGAGAAAGATGATGAAGAAGGCAAAAAGAAAAGAGAAGAGGAAGTCACCCCGGTCTCGGCAATACGCCATGACACCAAGGTAGAGTTTTGAAGGTTTTGTAATGAACTGACCTGCCTGGAGAGAGAAATGCAGAATTGTTAGGGAGGGGGGGAGGGAGGAGATACCTAGTTCTGTGAAAGGAAACTAGAACATACAGAGTTATATGTACATGTCTCAAATCAGTATTTTTATTGTCCTTTCGCATGTCATATAATGTTGTAAAAGTAAATTCCTTCCTCAAACTGTTTCTTGAAATCTGTTTAACAGTCAGCACAGTGTTTTTTACATAGCATTCTAGAGCTCCTTAGGAAATACCCAAAAGTAGTCCAGCAGTGCACATTTTGCTCCTTTGGTCTTCAGTCATATTTTGATTTCAGTATGGGCATCTTTTTTTTTTTTCTTTTTTTTTTGACAAAGCAACAAAATAGTTCTTTGTTCTTGTGTGTAGCTCTGTGCTTTAAACAACTGTATTTTTCTCATTTACTTCTCATAACACTCTTGTTTCCTTGCATATATTTCAATGAGCATTTTTCTCTATTCACTTTTGGGCACTAATATACTCTTAGAAGCTTTTTTTTTTTTTTTCCTGTCTTAGAAAAGGATTTGTTTCCTTCATTTGAAGTTTTGCGTTGAAGAAAACTGTTTTTGTTGATAATTCTTGGCTCAGTTGTTAAATTTGATTCATTCCTCACCATCTCCAATCCCACCACCACTACATAGACGTAGACACATGGTTGTGCATTATATCTACTGAATTATTAAGACAGGGTAAATTAAACAGAGGGACAGAGAACATACTGAATTTCAGAGCTTGACAGTGAAGAGAAATAAGGTAGAATCAGAAAAGATCAGGTGTAAAATGTCCTCCATTTCTTTTACATTGAGGAAAAGGAAACAGAATATGAAATATTGAATCTAGGATACCATTCAAAAAGTGTGCTATGGAATGCACTTGCTAAACAAGTCAGATTTACCCTGTTCATTAATGGGGAAAAACCTTGATGTATACCTTTACACCAAGAAAACTCATGCATGCAAATATTGGAACCCAAACTTCTAACCTTACCATATAAGGCCACAATGAGCTACATAGCTAAAGGATCAAGTCCTCAAAAAGACCTTCAATTAAGGTACCAAAAATCAGAAACAAATTGAAATACTGAAAATTGCAGATGAGAAAAGATTTTCTTTTGAAAATATGGACTATAATTGTAGCATTAAAAAAATAATCTCTGGAAAACTTAACTGAGGTCTTCTTGAAACTTCATTAATTTCTGCATGGACAAACATTGATGAAAATCAAATATGTAGAAAATAACCAATAGAAACTAATTCTGTTCCAAAATGTTTTGTTAATTTAGGTCGATGGAGAGATCAGCTGCATTGCGAAGATTCTGTGTTCCTTATATATGGCTAGAAATAGTCAAAGATGGGTTTAGGACAATATTGTGGTGGTATTTAAACATGCACAAATTAATTATTTTTAGAGCCCTCACCCCCCACCCCAAGAGGTGGGTTCTGTTTAAAGCACCTGCTAATAGAGCTTCAGTTCTGTAAGCCTATAGAGATTTCAGTCCTGCTTCCTCTGGACTTACTAACACTTTCATCATTCATTAAAAAGATAATAGGGTCTCAGGAAACACAGCACAAATTTGAAATCAAATTCCTATTTAAGGGTATATAAATTTTGTAGGTAGGTTTTCAGCTTCTCCACTAAGACATTTTTCCTTTGTTTTATCCATATGTATTTAAGTACCAGAAGTTATTATAAATATTAACACTGCAAAGATGTCAATAAGTGAATAGTCTGTGTCTGCAAGAATAAATTTACTTTGGCTTTTTTGCCTTTGCAATATAAAGAGAAGTTTTGTGTATTTAGCTCACATAAAGTCCTGTGAGTCCATCAGCATTAAATTTTGACTTGAGCTTACTGCATTAAGCCCATAAAGAAGACATTCATAAGCAATTTGAAGTTAGTTTGGGGTTTGGTTGTTTAATTTGGGAGTAGAAATTCCCTGACCTGATAGATTAGGGTTTTTAACTGTTCTGGTTAGAGAAGAGAGAGAAGCAAAATATTCAAGTGGAGGGAAGGAGCTGTTACGCATAAATATTGGGCTTAAGTCCCATTCCTACTGTTAAAGATTAGGCTTAGTAGCTAGCATTGGTGCAACCTGTGTCTAAATCCTGCTTATTGGCTTAGATTTGGCACCAACTTGTACAGGCAAATGCTGTTTTGGCTTTGAAGCCATTCTGCTCTGGGGCTCTGGGAGTGGCAGTGGGGGTGAAATGCTGTTTATAACTCCTCAGGGAGATGCATGATGGATGGAGCACTTAGGGTTTGGTCATGGAGCCAGTGTGCCACTTAGCTAAGTGCACCTAGTTGACTGTGGCCAAAACATCTTTAATCCATCAGTGTCAGGGCAGGTCTGTTGTTCTGGAGTATTTTGGTGGCAATGGCTGTTGTCCTTGTAAAGAGCAGTCATGGCTACCTGCAGGGAGCATGTTAGGTGGTGGTCACCCATCCTGCTGAAAAAAAATCACCTCCCTCTGACTACCAATTTTTGTCATTAAATGGCCTTAAAGACTGGTTGAATGCCCTACAAGTGGTGTATCAAAGCCAGTCCTGCTTGTTAGTAGCCAGTATTCTTTGCACTGTGCTAAAATCTGTAGCAAAAGCATTGCATACATCTTTACCTCTTTGCTGTGGGTAAATAGTCACTTTTTGACTATGAGGAGATGTGGCTCCTTGCGGCACAGACCTCTCTCTGGGCAGCCCCCCTTCAGATCTCCAGCGAGAGAGCACGGGGTCTGCCTAGCCAAAACCCTCAGCTCCCTTCTTTCCCTGTGCTCCGAAGTAATGGGGCGCAGCAGAGCTGGGGGCAGCAGGGCACACAGCAGGGGAGCAGCCCCCTGGCAGGGCTGTGCAGGCACCCAGTGGGGACCAGCCTGGGCAGCAATGGGAGCTGGTATAGTTTGGTCCATCGGTAACTACTGACATACAGATTTGTGCCCCCCCTCCCCCAAACCAGAATGTGTTTTATTTAGGTTTTGGACCTAGATTTATTTTATTTTATTTTTTAATACTGGAATGGAGGAATTTGAGCACATAGAGTTTTAAAATCCTTAAGGTTTTCATTGTTGCTGCTGAGATTGTCCAAGGCATAGGTGGGAAGCATCTGGCACCCAC